TATCCTGTTGCATCCCCAAAAACATAGTTTGGACATTTAATGGATTCAAATGTAACTCCGACAACCATTTGGTTATGCATTTTCGTCATCTGCCAGAACGGTCGAAATCAATCATTGCTGCATTATTGACTTCCGCTGGTCGGGTTAACTTCCGGTGATGGATGTGTGAGGACGTTGTTCGTTATGTCTTGCCGATGTCATATAATCACGGCCAGTCGTGTAGCTCGCGGACGCGTGGGCACCCCGTCACGTTATTCAATAAGGACCGCAATGCCGGGATTGTCACTCGGAGTAAACTGATTATTTACTCAGTAACGAGGATAACGTGGACCACGAGCTACGCCCTCGAACGTGGCAGTATAAATGTCATATACTGACGAACGAGACTCGTCTTCCCTGCGTTTCACGTCCTGTGTCAAATGAATGAAAATTAGTTTCGTTAGCCGCCAAGATATTTTAATAATTAATGTGGCTTCCCTTGAAGAAAACAGTGTTGGCCTTATGAGCTTCACTTGCTGAAACTGAATAACATAATTAAGTTTACCTACCCCGAAATTCCTGTACTAGTATGTGTTCACTATATCATCTTATAACAGATACAGACTAATGCTTGAATCACACAGTTATATTATACTCAAATGATAGCTGATACACAAGATATTTTTGTTATGTTTATGAATGGGGAAGGAAAACAAAAACACGATTTATTTCATGTCAGTTGCAAGAATACATCCAAAGGAACAGATTGATCGGGACGGATAATGCACGCACGGTATTTTAGACTTGTAGGAAAGGGTTAGACTATTATAAATAAACCATTTATATTTTTGCAACATTTTTTTTTTTTTTTTTTCAAGACATATCGCAACTTGACGTGTCACTGCTGCATTATTGGTTACGCTGACAACGGAATGTCCGTGTCGTAAATTCTTTGAAAATCTTAACATTTCAATTGTTCGTAATTGCAACAATAGCACGAGACACTGGTTCTCCCCGGAGGCTTACATCTAAATGTCAATGTTCACAAATAGCCAGCAAAAAAAGAAACTTTACTAGGCAAAATTGTAAATGAAGGATTCAATTATGATCTTTGTTGCTTACTTAGATAATAGTTTCATGTTCGCTCAAAAAAAAATAAAAAAATCAAGGCTTGTAGGGTTCGCCATTTCGTCGGGTTGTCGATCGCCTTGACAGGTTATTTGATGAACATTAATAACGCTGTGCAACAATAATATAAACGCGTGATTGCCCACCACAGGAGTATTGCAGGTGCGGTGGTGTAAAATATCACTGACGGTTTATCACGCGAAAAGCATGTTTCAATATAAATCTCGAGGAGAAACAGCAAAACAATTAAATCTCGTTAACCGACAATTCATTAAATTGAGCCCTGACGAATTACACCTCAAATGCTAAATGGAAATGATAATTCAGCATGTAGCGCTGTGGGTGCGTCATTTCCAGTTGGCTAGAACATTGACGATGAGTGCCAAGTGAATGCAGTTCAATACGAATACAAGTTTACTGGGTTTTTTTTTATATTCTAACTAAACCGTAGAAAACTCCTTTATTTGTCAAAAGTCGGCAATAGTTTAATGGATAGATAATTCCTCCTTCAGGTAGGGTATCTGGTATCCACCGTTATAATTATAACGTCATGATAATGATGGGCGTCAACAATTGGGTCATGATATTTACACCTGATATCAATGCCATCTGAATTTAGTAGAATTACATAGTATTAATGCCATACATCGGTATATATATACATATTTATGCGATCATACTGCTGTCATTCTGTCAACTATACCGAAAACAATCATTGTATATGCATGTGCTTGAATCCTTCTCCCACATCTTGGGAGTTAAACTGCATCCAGCTCACGCGTGTTTCATCTGATTTAAAGAGAACAAAATCCAGCCTCTTCAACTGTTAAAATATTGGGGAAAATATATTGATTAAACGTGAAGGATTTTTTATGAAATTCCTTTTTTTAAAGATAGGAATTTTACCTACCTGTCTACAATCTTACCTTTGAGAACGGCTAATACTATGCAAATAAAACATCTAAATTGCTTCAAAGACTATTTTATGTTCGCTCAGCAAAATCCTCGACAGGTGAGCAATACATACAATCCATGTTATGTCTTCCTCTCTGTGTTGTTCGTTTGACTCCTACACTCCGTGGCTATATAAGATGACGTAACCGCGTAATCATCATACACCACGCCACAACACGTAATGGGATAAGTAAAAACCCGTGTCGGCGCGCCCGACATCTACACATCGTTATAGAAATATCGTTCAAAAGGATAACCATTTTTCTTTCTATAATGGGAGGCAAATGGCACTGTTTTATGTTTGACCTTTAAATGTGCATACAGCGGTACAAATGGCGTATGCACATCTCCTTGTGCTGGGATGAAGTGTTCGGAGCGTAGTATGAGTAGTAGAGAAATAACCGTTTTCTTTTTTTTTTTGTAAAGTTTATATATTAAGTGTTTTCTTATGTGAGCACCTTTTGTTTCTGAATTGCGTCCTTGATGAAGCTGTGCAATTTTCCTCTTTTTTACTTACCATCTCCGTTAATATCACAATATGGATGCGTCCCTTTTGTTCAGCCTTTCTCCAGTGTTTTGCCTCCTCAACTGTATGTAAAATCGCGTATAGTCCCAAAGCGTCTGCACTAAATATCTAGCAATTTTTGTAGCGTTCTTGTCGCAATTGTCAAACCTTCCTGTTGTGACTTCATCAGTGCTCAGATTACGATAGGGAACGTGACAGATTGTTCAGCACTACTGTATCGTCCTTGTATGTTCAGCACTACTGTATCGTCCTAGTATGTTTAGTACTACTGTATCGTCCTTGTATGTCCAGTACTACTGTATCGTCCTTGTTGTTCAGCACTACTGGATCGTCCTTGTATGTTTAGTACTACTGTATCGTCCTTGTTGTTTAGTACTACTGTATCGTCCTTGTTGTTTAGTACTACTGTATCGTCCTTGTTGTTTAGTACTACTGTATCGTCCTTGTATGTTTATGACTACTGTATCGTCCTTGTATGTTCAGCACTACTATATCGTCCTTGTTGTTTAGTACTACTGTATCGTCCTTGTTGTTTAGTACTACTGTATCGTCCTTGTATGTCCAGTACTACTGTATCGTCCTTGTTGTTCAGCACTACTGGATCGTCCTTGTATGTTTAGTACTACTGTATCGTCCTTGTTGTTTAGTACTACTGTATCGTCCTTGTATGTTCAGCACTACTATATCGTCCTTGTTGTCTAGTCCTACTGTATCGTCCTTGTATGTTTAGTACTACTGTATCGTCCTTGTTGTTTAGTACTACTGTATCGTCCTTGTTGTTTAGTACTACTGTATCGTCCTTGTATGTTTAGCACTACTGTATCGTCCTTGTATGCTCAGCACTACTGTATCGTCCTTGTTGTTTAGAACTACTGTATCGTTCTTGTATGTTCAGCACTACTGTATCGTCCTTGTATGCTCAGCACTACTGTATCGTCCTTGTATGTTTAGTACTACTGTATCGTCCTTGTATGCTCAGCACTACTGTATCGTCCTTGTTGTTTAGAACTACTGTATCGTTCTTGTATGTTCAGCACTACTGTATCGTCCTTGTATGCTCAGCACTACTGTATCGTCCTTGTTGTTTAGTACTACTGTATCGTCCTTGTTGTTTAGTACTACTGTATCGTCCTTGTTGTTTAGTACTACTGTATCGTCCTTGTATGTCCAGTACTACTGTATCGTCCTTGTTGTTCAGCACTACTGGATCGTCCTTGTATGTTTAGTACTACTGTATCGTCCTTGTTGTTTAGTACTACTGTATCGTCCTTGTATGTTTATGACTACTGTATCGTCCTTGTATGTTCAGCACTACTGTATCGTCCTTGTATGTTTAGTACTACTGTATCGTCCTTGTAGCAGCAGCCAACACTTCTGTTTTTGTCAACTCCCAGTATTTACTCTATAAAGTTTTCTGCTCGGTATTCTTCTCCTTCTTATGACCAACAAATTAGTACGGAAGTTACTAGTAAAACCCTGGCCATTTCCCGAGTATTACAAATTAAGGGAAGTGTTTAGAGGTATATGAATACCAGGTCCTATAACATTTTACACGGGACTAATCTGGACTTCAAATCTTAACATTTGAAACTCCAAATCTTAAAACCAAAACTATGCTTTTTATAGCAGTAACATTTTGAAAATATTTTGAAAATTTCAATGACGATAGTGCTTTAATGCAATATGTATATTTGTCAACCCCTCTTCGCTCCTAAGTCTCAACAAATACTCGCCATGCTAGACGATCTTTGGCCAGCTATCAGCTGTGTCCCCAGGCCCGATTTAGGTCCCTGTGTTCCGCCTAGATAGGTTCTGCCAAGTTTCCATCGGTCTCCTACTTCTCTTGTACCTTCTCTGAGGTTTCTTCCGAAGAAATTTCCTCTTAATTCTTCCTTTCGGAACATGTAAAGCCATCGGAATAAACGTTGTCCATCCTCCTGTACAAGGAAGGCTGAATCCATCGTCTTAAAGAGGTTTTGGTTGGTTATCTTGTTTGGCAGGAAGATCTTGCAGATGTGCCTCGAAGAGCCATGATGGGAAGTATGCTAAAAAGGAATAACAGTAATAACTATACACGAGGGATTTCAAAGATGTTCTTAGTTCAACATTCCTGAGTCGAAGTCACGATGTTTTGAATTTTTCCTGATGGTCCGGTAAGTTCTAAACATCGCAGATTGATTCAGACAACTGTTTGGTTCCTAGCATCACTGATGAGTCCTAGAAGGACGAACAGTTCCATGATGCACTGCTATTCCTTTCTGGCAAACTGTATCTATTACCAAACTTTAAAGGTGCTATCAGCTGTGTGTGTGACGTCATCTTTGACTGTATGTCCGTACCGGAAACACTCGAGTAAGACAGTTTCTATTTTAAAAGTATTAATGCAGTATGGCGTTGAAGAATATTGTTTATTTTAATCATCAGCAGTCTTATATGATATCACGTCAGCAGTCTTATATGGTATCACGTCAGCAGTCTTATATGCTATCTCGTCATCAGTCTTATATGCTATCACGTGAGCAGTCTTATATGGTATCTCGTAAGCAGTTTTATATGATATCTCGTCAGCAGTCTTATATGGTATCACGTCAGCAGTCTTATATGGTATCTCGTCATCAGTCTTATATGATATCACGTCAGCAGTCTTACATGGTATCACGTCAGCAGTCTTATATGGTATCTCGTCATCAGTCTTATATGATATCACGTCAGCAGTCTTATAATATATCACGTCAGCAGTCTTATATGGTATCTCGTCATCAGTCTTATATGATATCTCGTCAGCAGTCTTATATGGTATCTCGTCATCAGTCTTATATGATATCACGTCAGCAGTCTTATATGGTATCTCGTCAGCAGTCTTATATGATATCACGTCAGCAGTCTTATATGGTATCTCGTCAGCAGTCTTATATGATATCACGTCAGCAGTCTTATATGGTATCTCGTCAGCAGTCTTATATGATATCACGTCAGCAGTCTTATATGGTATCTCGTCAGCAGTCTTATATGATATCACGTCAGCAGTCTTATATGATATCACGTCAGCAGTCTTATATGGTATCTCGTCAGCAGTCTTATATGATATCACGTCAGCAGTCTTATATGGTATCTCGTCAGCAGTCTTATATGATATCACGTCAGCAGTCTTATATGGTATCTCGTCAGCAGTCTTATATGATATCACGTCAGCAGTCTTATATGGTATCTCGTCAGCAGTCTTATATGATATCACGTCAGCAGTCTTATATGGTATCTCGTCAGCAGTCTTATATGATATCACGTCAGCAGTCTTATATGGTATCTCGTCAGCAGTCTTATATGATATCACGTCAGCAGTCTTATATGGTATCTCGTCAGCAGTCTTATATGATATCACGTCAGCAGTCTTATATGATATCACGTCAGCAGTCTTATATGGTATCTCGTCAGCAGTCTTATATGATATCACGTCAGCAGTCTTATATGGTATCTCGTCAGCAGTCTTATATGATATCACGTCAGCAGTCTTATATGGTATCTCGTCAGCAGTCTTATATGATATCACGTCAGCAGTCTTATATGGTATCTCGTCAGCAGTCTTATATGATATCACGTCAGCAGTCTTATATGGTATCTCGTCAGCAGTCTTATATGATATCACGTCAGCAGTCTTATATGGTATCTCGTCAGCAGTCTTATATGATATCACGTCAGCAGTCTTATATGATATCACGTCAGCAGTCTTATATGGTATCTCGTCAGCAGTCTTATATGATATCACGTCAGCAGTCTTATATGGTATCTCGTCAGCAGTCTTATATGATATCACGTCAGCAGTCTTATATGGTATCTCGTCAGCAGTCTTATATGATATCACGTCAGCAGTCTTATATGATATCACGTCAGCAGTCTTATATGCTATCACGTCAGCAGTCTTATATGGTAACTCGTCAGCAGTCTTATATGATACCACGTCAGCAGTCTAATATGATATCACGTCAGCAGTCTTATGATATCACGTCAGCAGTCTTATAAGATATCTCGTTAGAACCGTCCCGAAACTTTAACACACCTCGCTACGGCTTATTCAGACAATAACAACGTATCGACGTTTTCATTTGTAAAATGACAAATCATCCAAATTCCTTAAACTGCTTCTTTTGTTATTTTGTTTCATTAATCCATTGTTCCCTTTGATGTTTTGTTTCATTCATTATTTGTGTACGTGTAGAACATGTCGGAGGCTTGTCTCATCGCCGTGTTACTTTAATCATTGACACGCCTTTCCGCGCCAGCTTTATACCTTGTTGGCATTTGTTTACGTCAAAGATAATTACACCTCATTATTGGACAATGAAAGCTGCAGAGTACTCATAATCATTACAGGACAATTAGCTCATCGAACATTTACAAAAGCCGGAAGCTGCTGATTGGTATTTTAAGTGCGGCGCTAATGGTGCTTCCGTTTCTTTCTTTATCTGGACTTTCGGAACACAAACTATGCACAAAAGAAAGAAAGTAAATCGTTCTAGCTCCGAACAGACCGTGATGATGTTCATGTACCGAATCATTGGTTTTAATCAAAAACCTTTTTTCTATCAATCATGTTATCGACTCCGAGGCTAAGCAACGTACCCCGGTCAATCGGAGAAAAACGATGCCCCACGAAGGGCATCAAGTCTAAGAGCAAAGGTCAAGCTTCAAGTAAGCCATGTTCCTAAAAGATTAAGGATGTGACAGACCATGTTCCCAGAGGCCAAGTCTATCGCAAGGCTCGTGTTGCTTACAGAAAGTTCTCCTTCATGTATAAGCGTTGTTTACCGCAGCCAAAGTCTGAGGAAAGCGTTGCTCCCGTACGGTCAAGTCTAAGACAAGCGGTGCTTACTGGGAGTCGGGTCTGAGACAAGCAATTTACTCCGAAAGCCAAGTCTGAGAATCACTGAGGAAAAAGTCGTGTCTCATGTGAAGACATGTACTGTATTACATTGTATGTATGGTAAGTACAAAGCTGTCGGTTAAAAATAACATCACATTTAGGCGTCATTCATTCGCAAATAATATTATTTTTCGCGTCATTCTTAGAGAAAAAATATATTTCAACGTTTTTTGTTTTGTTTATGATTGATTCCATACATTCATGCGTTAGTCTATCATAATTTGAAGAGACCCTGTATTTTACGATGTATATTACAGAACAAGCATGGTTTTATACAAGTAGTCTAGTACAACAACTTCAGCAGCATGACATATTCACAAACACATACGCAATCTTTACAGAACAAACGATTATAAAGTTTTCCAAAATAAGAGAGATGCAAGTCCGTCTTCGGAAAAGCCTATTAAGTGATTATATTTCGTTTCACGAACCGAGTCCTCCCATCGATCGTGCGAGGAATGGTACGCCCCATCTGTACCGAGATATCGGTGTACCCCTCCCTCTCACTTCCGTGATCCTCCAGCGATAGAGCCCTCTTCCCGTCAACATGTATCCAGGAGACAGGTCGATGTATCGGCACTTTTACATGTGATATAGTGCATTATCACTAGCGCGCAAGTTTATCGTAATGTACTAGGGGTAAACTCGTAAACATGAGTAAACTGTACCTAGTGGCTTCCTTGGAGAAGATAAACGATTTTACTATCGGACACAGGGCATATCTCCACCATTTATTTTTAGTAATTCACCTACAATTAACCGACTTAAGGGCATAAAAAGCTTATTTCTGCACACAAAACATGAATTACTTCCGCCCGTACGTGGTATATCCACTTAGCCGAACTCCTGTCCTGTAGTCTCGAAATGTCGATTCACGAAGCCTAAATGCAGGATCTGAAATACCTTTTTGTGACAATTCTCGCGTTTTATGCTAGAACTTCCGTATTCCGGATTGACTGTATAATCTACAGTGTCCGGAATAACGAGGTTCTAGTGTAACCTCAAGGGTTCTACAGATGCCACTAACGCGAAAAGAGGAAGTTTCCGATCAAAATTGATCCGAGGTCGGATTGTCCAGACATGCAGCAATCACTTTATTCACATAGGAGGAATATTAAACATGTCATTTACGGCTTGATGGTTTTTCTACACAGGAAATCCGTCGATCCAGACCCATTGGATTCAGTAGCCTGGCAAATTATTATAAATATCAGCGATTGGAGGTGAATAATCCGGATTGTGGGGGTTCCATTGCACGTTGTCATGGAGAACTAAATCAGTGTAAAACTCCTACTGATGTTGCGTTGGTAATTACTCACCTCCCTGACCCGTACATGTATGATGTAGGGCTCCACCAGATATCTGGTGTCTACTTGTGATATTTATTACCCATTTCCCATGGAACGTCACAACACAAGGAACGATTTATTATTTCAACGCGGGTTATGATTGGGGATCTTGATATTCTGATGAATCATGTAAATTATACATAATAAATTGTAGGTGCATATCCTTGAAGCTCGATGGAGTTGTATCAGAACAAAATATGACACGAGTGAAAACGGGTTTCCTATTGGCTATTAGCACCGGATTAAGTAGACGTTGCGGGGTCTATTAATGTAATCAAAAGGTATACTTAGACCATTTGCAAACACAAACTCATTTAACCGCTACGTTACCTATAAAACGTTCCGAAAGCATGACTGTTCAAAGGCACAGTAACCTGAAGGCCGACTTTCCGAATACCCAATAGTAGAAATTATGCTTAGACGATCTTCGGATTATTGAGCTTTCGGACCACACGATATAACGAATAATAATTAATATATGCGTGAAAATCTTTTTTGTTAAACATTCAGACCATAGAATGTTCGGATTTATTTGGGATAACGACCACGTTCACGACATACACATTTCTGGAACAAATCTCGCTATTTAGCAGTCACAAGGGGAATGTATACTTCCGGTATAGAACTGGGATGTGTCATTGGCCGGCGACCAGGTAGCACAATTAGTCGAGCGTCCGCCTAGAGTTAGAAGGGTCCGAGTTCGAATCACGGTCTGGCTGTGCATTTTTCTTCTCCTGTTACAGTGGTGCCTCTGACCAACCCTTATATTAAATACTAGGTGAATGCTTGAAGAAGGGATACCCGAATCTGGGTTGTAAACAGTGTTGTTTTCGGAGTCGAAGCAATCACAATAATCATAATAGTTCGAGGTTCTTACATACCGTTTTATTACAACCTAGTTCGTAGGTCGTCTCAAAGCAGTTCACAAATTATTATCCGTGGTTATAGGGCCTTTGCAACCAGCCAACATCTTTCTCAACTCCCTGGGGTGCATACAGCCGGTGCTACCATTTCGGCGCTCACAGCTAGCATTCAACAATTCCAGCACTGCCAAACCACGTACTCTTTTACAGCTGAGTAGACTGGAACAAGCGGAACACCGTGCCGTGACGTGACTCAGCAGTCTGTAACCGCATACCAGTAATTTTGCAAATTGTTGTGTGCGGTTGACAGAGTTTTGGCGTTAACCAGAAGTTCTCATGCCCCCTCTTGTATCTTAATCGGTCGAAAATTATTTCGAAAACGACATAATCCTTCGGATTATGGGCTAACCCTGTGTTTACCCATGTTTATATCCATCCGTCTCTGATTAGACCCAAGGTAAATTGGTTTGCAATATGAGTTAAGGGATGCTGTTACGAGAACGTCGGTACACGAATGTTTATTCCTATCTCAGCGGAAACCATAGTAGCACATGTGCATGGTGAGGTCAGTGAGGCCAATTTTTATTTTCGTTTGCATGGGGCGCATATGTTGACGTCCCATTAGCAGTATATTTGAAGAATTCTAAAACAATCCCAATAAGAAACACGATCATACTACGTACGTGGTATAGAAACTTTTAACATAATATCCATTTAGTTCTTTTTGCCGACTGTCGTATTTTTCACGGTGCACTTGAATATGTACTGATTAACGAACAAGACGATCGCGGCGACTGTTAGTGACCTTTGGAAATACTCTTTACCGCGTATACTCACAGGGGAGGGTCTGGTGTTGAGCTCAAGACCTACCGAAGAGGGAGTATACTAAAGGAATTTTATCAGGACAAGCACGTGTAAATATTTAATTTCAGTAGAACACACATGTAGAAAGGCGTTGAAAGTCAGTTTTATATAGCGGCTACCAGCAGATGGCGCTAGAGGTCCTTCAGAAACTGATCATTCGCATAGACGCAGGTCTATCATAAAGTTCCCAGGTTCTGACACAGACTAGTGTTACATTTCAGAGATTATTACGTAACAGTTCGTGGTTTAAAACTGATGTGCTACCGATAACATAACGCATATCAACTATTGATCATAAGGATATGTTTGTTTCATATTGAAATAAAGAGGCCTGGGTACGTGGTATACTTAAGATACCAAAAGATGTCGCATACATCACAAAAAATGTCACACACAGCACAACGGACGTCACATACATCTCAAAGGAGATTGTACACATCACAAAGGATGCCATGCATATCACAAAGGATGTCACAAACATCACAAAGGACGTCATAAACATCGAAAATGATTTCATACGCATCGCAACAGTCGTCACACAGATCGGACACACATCACAAAGGATGTCGCACACATCACAAAGGACGCCATAAACATCGAAGATGATGTCATACACATCGCAACTGACGTCACATAGATCGGAACAGACGCCACACACATCACAAACAACGTCGCATACACCAACAACAAAGACGTCACACATCGTAATGGACGTAACACACATAGCAATGGACGTCATCTACATCACAATCGACGACACCTACATCACAAAGGAAATATTTACATTTGCATGGCATTGTCACTATATAGCCTCATTGAGAGCTGTGTCGTTGATGGGACTTTAATTACCATGCCGCACGAGCCATAATTACCATGCCGCACGAGACACAATTCTTAGCGTATTAATTACAACACTGACCGGAACTACAATATCCAATGTAAATAAACATGACGGCTGCTGAAATATCGCTGGGCATTTTGAGATTTGATAATGTCATTGTAACT